AAGAAAGATTGGGACATGTTTTGTTAATGTCATAATAATAAAAATTATAACGCATTCCTTTGAGTATCTCTTTACAATATTTTGTGTTTTAAATTTGAATTAAAAAATTTTAAGTCACAACTATATAATATAATTTACAAGGAATTGCCTTAAATAATTAAAAAAAATAGGCCAGGCCCACTTAGGCCCCTTAGGCCCACACCCACACCCACATATATATGAATAAAAGATATCATATTAACACTAATGTTAGTGAATTGAGTAAGACAAGAGAAACGCATGACTACCTAAGAACCTTCTACCCTAATCTTTTACCTCCACACCCTCCTGTCTAGGGTCATGTCCTCAGTGAGTTCCAGTTGCGCTGTGTCCCGCCTAATAACCTCTTCCCAAGACTTCTTATGCCTGCCTCTATCCCTCCTGCTGCCTACCGAGGCTAACCGCTCGCACCTTCTAACTGGGGCTTCTATACTTCTCCTCTTAACATGTTCGAATCATATTAACTTCACGTCCCTCATCTTATCCTCCACAGGGGTTACTCTCATCTTTTCCCTAATAACATCATTCCTAATCTTATCTAACCGGGTATACCCACATATCCACCCCAACATCCTCATCTCAGCTACTTCGTCTAAAAATAATATTTTTTTTTAGTATTATTAGCTTTATTTCAGGTTCATAATTACACATCAGAGCTGCATAGTTTGGTTGACGAAATCGACAAGCGCCCCCGCACCAAAAATAAAACAAACAAACCAAAGTACACTTTTAGATGTCTTCGTTTTCAATCACGGAGAGGATTTTTTTTTCTCCAATGGAAGAGAACTACTTTCTTCCCCATTTCTAATACATAGCGGAAGTTTCAGATATGTTAGCTCTTCTTCAAATCAATATCAGAGAATGCATTAATTTCTTATTTAGTTAAGAGAAGTCCAGAGTATAATGATCATAAGTCTAGTCAGATTGATGATCAGCATAAACTAAAGCACTAATAACTTTATGAATACGTTATAAGAAATTAAATTCATAGTTCTCAGAACAATCCAAATGTTAGAATAATGGTACAATATTACCCAAAACTTTGTTGATATGGCAATACCTATTCCCATGCATGTTAATGGGTTATTTTGAGAGGGGCAATGGCGATATTTCTTCAGGAATTCAAGGACAATATGGTACATTTTTTTGGATATAGGTTCTCTTCCAGTTTACTTAAGCACTTGAAATAGATTTATCCAATAAATGAATGTCAACTCCTATTCATGAGAGGGAGAATAGTTTTATAATTCATTACAAATATTTTTTAGTTATATAACTCCTTTAAAAGATACATCCACCAGACGTTCCGACTTGGAAGCCCCGTTCGCTTAGCATCAGATAAGTTTTTATTATAAATAAATATAAGATATTCACATCATAATAATCTAATTTTCATCATAGGGTATAGGGCTTATAGACTTCGGCATGTCTTCTATAATAGCAATGCCGAATAAAATGTTCTTGATTTCGAGTTGATATATAGACAGGCCAACTCTTTGGGTCAAGACTGATACCTGCTAAAATAAAGGAGTAAATGATAAAGACTAGACAAACGAAATTAGTCTAACATAAGCAATGATAGATAGACCAAAGATTAGGCAGTCATATGCACCGGCACAACAAAAATTCAAAGTCGGTCGGTGTGCTAGCTCTATAACATAATCAGACCCAATCACACTCTCCTATTATAAAGTGGAGTAGAACCATTGATGAAGATACAACAAGAGATATTTGTGAGATCAATTTCGTGCAAGTAAAATTGTAACGGACACTTAAGAGATTATTTTTACATTCACAGTAAACTATCCAAAACGATCCATTTATTTTTGGTTAGTAAGCTACTATGCAGGAGCCAAACTTTTTGTTGCATGTATTGTTGTTAATTCTCATTTCATTATTGTGACATTTCTTCTCAGTAATCGACACAGTTGACATTCATTATTAAATGGCCACAAGTTGTCAATTTATAAAATTTCCCAATTTTACCTCAATATAATAGTAACAAATGGACTATTTAAAAATGATGAACTTTAAAGATTAGTGACAGGATAAGAATGAAATGATTAGTGAGGACTAAATCAATAAAAAGTACGGAGGTATCTGTGAGAACCATTCAAAACAAGTACGTACCACCTATATTTCAGTTGGTGTACACATGCACTAATCATATAGGTAGTTAATTATTAATCTAAAAAGAAAGTCAGTTTCGTAAAATTCTCATATTTGCTTCGTATTATTCCATGTCCATTTGTAGTTTTTAGAAATTCTAAATATATTAGCGAATAATATTATGAAACCTTGCAGATAATGTTGGAGAGATTGTTTGATCAAAAAGTATGAGACTTTTTATTAAACTAATTAAATAAGAAGATAGAAGGCAAATCCTAACCAAAGATAATTAACTCTAGATCAACAAATGCTAAGTAAGAAAAGTTGGGTAAGGTTGAGCTCTTGAACTCATAAAGATAAGGGAACAAATCAAATGTATATGATGAACTTACATTCATTCTCGACATCGTTACTCTACAATGTTAAATAGAGAAGAAAGAAAGTATTTACCCTTAACAACCTCATGGTATGCCTTTATTTATTCCATAACAATGGTTACAGAAAAATGAATAGCCAAGTTCTGAACCTTCTCTCATACGTGAAGAAGTGTCCCCTTTTTTGTTCTCCCATCTAGTATATATACTAGGTATTCTCCTTTACACAACGGTCATTGACCAGAGTATCTAAGTCATTTAATTGTTTTACAGATTGACCCTCTGAAATGTCGTAACATCCAATACACCATACAAGCATTCTAAGTACGCGACCTCGGTCGTGGCCAAGGTGCTCGTCGCTATAGCGTTGTACGAATACAACTTCGGCCCAAGTGACTTTACCGTTCCTCTTCACGCAGATTCTTGTTTGGTCAGATTTCGACCCATACAGTTAGTCCCTCCTCCTATTGGGGTCGTCTTTTGGCGAGCTCGATGGACGGACTCTATCGATTCAAAAGTTATGAGAAATTTGAGCACTTTGGGCAATAGGCGAGTACCTCGTGGCGAAGTAGCGACGTGACATTTTGAGAGCTGCATCAGACCATCACGTCAGTTCAGAATGTCATTAAAACTCCTCATGCGTCATTATGACGCACGTTTTCTATGTATTGTGTCATTTCCTGTGCCCTTTCCATTTCAAAATGATGGCGTTTGGTTTTCCCGCTCAGGGTAATTATATCCCTATAAACAAGGGAAAATCTTACATTCGAATGTTGTGTTTCCCAATCGCTCAGGAGAGGCTTTTCTTTTTCTCATTCAGTTTCTCACATTTCCCTTTCTGTTAAAGATTCTTGTAGCCACTACCTTTTTCCCTTATCATTCCCAACTTTTGCAACCAAAGAAGAGATGGCTAGTGCATCCTCCAACCCTGATAGAGCTGTTGGTGCCCCGGTACCGGAAAATGATATACCTCCACTCGAAGAGGGAGTGACTATGGTGGAGGATGAAAGTTTTTCGACGGTGAATGAAGTGGTCCCCCGCCTTGGAAAGGCAAGGACTGACTTCAAGAGCCCTGCTATGGATGAGTTTGAACTTGTTATTTCTACGATGGATGTCGCGGTGCTCACGACGTTTAAAACCAAATGGAGAATCCCATATCACATTGAACCGGTTCCGGCGGATCGTGACATAGTGCATGTACACCGCCCAGGCTATTGCGCGTTCTACGCATATCCATTTGTCATCGGATATACGCTTCCCCTTCCTTCCTTGGCGGTGGACTTCTGCCACTTCTACGAAGTGTGTCAGGCTCAACTCTCTCCGTACATTTACAAACTCTTCCTTATGCTTATCAAGTACGCGGAGCTGATCGATCGGGGAATTTCTCTACAATACATGCTTCACCTCTTCGTGCCCCATTTTTATAGGGGCACAATGATTCACCTTCGTCACCGAGGAACCAAGGGTTTGGTGGTGAAGATGGATGACAAGGCCAATCACCACTTCACCACTTCTGGGAGAACTTCTTCTATATCTGAACAGAACACGTGGTATCGAACCTTGCTGGATTTTCTAAGGCGTGGAATTTTGCCCGCAGATCTTCCTTTCTTTTTATTATTATTTTTTTCTTATATACCAAGGGCATAATTGGTATTTTCAGCTAACCTATAATTTGCTTTAGTGAAGAACGTGTAAAAGTCTCCCCCGCTTCTTTTAATTCTTGCATCATCAATCAATTAAAGAGATTCTAGGATGTTCTATTCCTGTTTTCTTCCTACGATTCTCCAATTCAGCCATTCCTTTTAGTTTATTCTTCTCTTTCTAAATCTGAATTTATTTACATTTGCTTATTTCATGAATCTCCGTCATTCTTATTTCTCTTTAACTTAGTTGCTATATCTTTTATTCCATTCTCCAACCAACTTTTTATGAATCTTTTAGTAATTGATTTTAAACTGGGCTGGAGTGCAAGAATTATGCTTGAAATTGGTTTGGCCGCTGCGTATTAAAGTGGTATAAGCATGTCCTACTCCAACACTGCCACACTGGTGAGAACTCAATTCATTATTTACTCAGTGAGTTCATGCATTTGTCTCTAGATTCTAGAATGTTCTCATCTCTAATTCTTGCCACATAATACTTTATATATTTCAAAAATTGATCCACCTTTATCTATTGCCACGTAATGAGTTACAATTGCTTAATTCGATTTGTCACGTAATATTCAAATCAAGGAAATTTTTGATTTACCATTATGGTTTTCGAAAATCTTGGGTTTTAAGCTAATGACTATTTTCTCAGCTTCTACTCATGATTAATTAGTATGATCATACGGTACCTTGTTAGAGAATATTGTTTTGGTTTCTTATTCTATAATTTTGTGGCAAAATTGGCTCTACAATTTTAGCAATAGATTTTTTTTTTTATTTTGTACTTTGCCCAAAAAGCTGAGGGTTTGCGTGTTTATTTGGAATCCATATATCCAGATGAATAGTTATGTTTTTGGTTTAAAATTTCTGAATGATTTTTGTTTAGTCTTGTCATGACCCAATTTAGGATTGTGACCGGCACTTAGGAGTGAGTGCTCCCAAGTAAGCCTCATCGGAAATTTTACAGAAAATCGGATAGAGTTTTCCCTGTTTTTGGACCATCCCAAAAGCTTTCATGTCTCAAATCAACAACCAAACATCCTAATATTATACCAAACAATTTACAACTTGTCAATTAACCAATACATGTCTCCACCATAACTAAACCACCAGCTAACCACTAGAAATACTAATTTATCTCCAACTTTGATAAATGAGAACGATACTCAACATAAGACTATAATAACGAAAGAATATGACACTAAAATAATGACTATGGAGCGACTCTAAGAGTTCAATGAAAAGACCATAACAATAAGTAAAATCTCTACCCACGCGAACAAGTGCGAGGCTCACCGAGAAATATCAACCTGTGCGCTCTAATTAACGAAATTCTCGCCTGCGTCAACTGCTGTCTAGTACTCGTGCCAAAATTCCAAATGCTTCACCTCGAGCAATTCATACAACTTCCTCTAATTCAATCTGGAGTGTATTGCTGGAACTTAAGGAATTGTATGCCAAAGATTAGATGAAACACGGTCTTCAGCGCTAAAGAAACATCCGAGACTCTCTTTCGTTTGTTTTTCCCGTTCGATGCTTTCTTCCTTTCCTTCTAAGGTTTTTTTTTCTTCTGAAATCGTTTTGCTTCTGTCCGTTCCCCTTTCTTTCCCTTTTCTTTTAGTTGTGGCTTTGACCTTCTTTTAGTTAAAGTAGGTTTCTTCCCCCTTTTTTTAATTTATTTATTTGTTACTTTTTGGTGTAAATTACTTAATTGCCCTTTTTGTATGAGGAGTATTACATTCTTCCCACCTTATGAAATTCGGTTCCCGAATTTAGCTCTGGTACGTACCTGTAAACTGAAATAAATGAGGATACTTGACTCGCATAACATCTTCTATTTCCCATGTAGCTTCTTCAACAGTATGATTTCTCCATAAGACTTTCACGAACAGAATTTCTTTTGACCGTAGTTTTCTTATTTGTCTATCAACAATTGTCATCTGCTCTTCCTCATAAGACAACTTCTCATCAAGCGGTATAGTTGGTGCTTCAAGCACCTGGGATGAGTCTGATATACATTTTCTTAGCATTGAGACATGAAATATTGGGTGAATAAAAGATAACTCAGGAGGAAGTGCCAAACGATAAGCCACCGCTCCCACTCGGTCTAGTATCTCATACGGTCCTATAAACATGGGGCTCAACTTGCCTCTTTTCCCAAACCGCATCACACCTTTCATAGGAGAGACTCGTAGGAACACTTTGTCCCCAATTGTGAACACTAAATCTCTTTTTCTCTTATCAGCATAAGACTTTTATCTACTTTGAGCTGCAAGCAATCTCTGTCTGATCAACTGGACCTTGTCCATAGCTTCTTGTACTAGGTCGGGTCCCAATAAGTTAGTCTCACCAGCTTCAAACCATCCGATAGGAAAACGACATCTTCTACCATACAATGATTCGTACGGTGCCATTTGAGTACTGGAGTGGAAGTTATTGTTGTAAGCAAATTCAGCTAAAGGTAGATAAGCATCCCAACTACCTCCAAACTCAAGAATGCAAGCTCTCAACATATCCTCCAAGATCTGTATAGTACGTTCAGACTGCCCGTCTGTATGTGGATGAAATGCAGTACTAAGATCTACTCGTGTACACAATGCTTCTTGAAAAGATTTCCAAAAGTGTGAGGTAAATTATGATCCTCTATCAGAGATGATAGATATTGGAACTCCGTGAAGTCAGACAATTTCGTTCATAAATATCTATGCATACCTGACTCCACCATATGTAGTCTTCACCTGCAAAAAGTGTGATGATTTTGTCAGTCGATCTACAATCACCCATACCGAGTCATAACCTCTAAGGGTTCGTGGTAGCCCGGTGACAAAATCTATAGTAATTCTTTCCCATTTCCACTCTGGAATCTCAATTTGTTGTAGTAGTCCTGCAGGTCGCTGATGCTCTGCCTTGACCTGCTGACAAGTCAAACAACTAGAAATAAAGTTAGCAACATCTTTCTTCATACCTTCCTACCAATAAAATTGCTTCAGGTCATGGTACATTTTTTGTGGATCCAGGATGTATATCATCAATAAATACTATAACAAATCTATCCAGAAACGGCTTGAACACCCTATTCATTAAATCCATGAATGCCGCTGGAGCATTAGTCAATCCGAAAGGCATCACAAGAAACTCATAGTGCCCGTATCGAGTCCGGAAAGCATCTTAGAAATATCTTCATCTTTGATTCTAAGTTGATGATAACCACAACAAAGGTCAATCTTCGAAAAATGGCCAGCTCCTTGTAACTGATCAAACATGTCATCTATACGAGGCAAAGGATATTTATTACGTATTGTTATCTTGTTCAACTGCCTGTAGTCAATGCACATTCTCAAGGATCCGTCTTTTTTCTTTGTGAATAGTATNCTCCATGGTGATACGCTAGGTCTAATAAAACCCTTATCTAACAAATCTTGTAACTATTGCTTTAGCTCCCTTAACTATGATGGTGCCATTCGATATGGGGGTATCGATATGGGTTGTGTGTCAGGTAGCAAATCAATACCAAAGTCTATTTCTTGTATTGGAGGCAATCCTGGTAAATCCTCAGGAAATACATCAGAAAATTCTCTCACTACTGGTACATTTTCTATACTAACTGTTTCCTTTCTTGTATCACTTACAATAGCTAAGAGACCCAAGCAACCTTTCTTCAGAAGTTGTTGAGCCTTCATAAAAGATATAATTTTGCAAGTCTCTCGAACCTAACTCCCTCTTAGAATAAAACTAGGTTCATTTGCTATCTCAAACTTAACTATCTTTGCATGACAATCGACTATAACATAGCAAGAAGATAACCAATCCATTCCCATCAGCATGTCAAAGTCAATCACATCAAGTACAATAAGGTCAGCTAGAGTATCTCTACCCTCAACCCGAATCTGATAAGCACGATATACGTATTCAGCTAATAGAGACTCTCCAATAGGTGTAACAACTAGAAAAAGATCATTCAATAGCTCGGGTTGTCTACTAAATCTCAAAGCAAAGTACGAGGACACATAGGAGTGAGTAGATCCCGAATCAATCAACGCAAGTGCATCAAATGAACAGACAGAAAGAATACATGTAACCACTGCATTCGATGCCTGGGCATCCTGTCTAGTAAATGCAAAAACTCTCGCCTGACCTCTACCAGCATTGCCTTGTCCTTGATTCACAGTAGCACGATCTCCAGCACCTCAACCTCTATTTCTTGTACCTGTAGCACCCGAAGTATTACGGGTAGTCTGAGTCGGTGCAACTGACTGAATAGAAGCCTGGTTGAAATTTCTCGGAGGCTGAGGGCAATCCCTCAAGTGATGTCCCAACTGGCCACACCGAAAGCACTCTCCAGTTAAAACACGACATTGGCCCAAATGTGATCTACCACAAGTCTGGCAGACTGGAGTAATGGTATATATCTGCCCAGAATTACGATGTCCAGAAGATGATGGTCCCCTATTACCTTGTCTGTAATGTGGTCTGCATGTGGACTGTAAAGACATGTGTGTCCCTGTCTGAGAACCCTGTTGTTGTTGTCCCTGATTTCCTGCTCTTCTATGTTCACTAAAACCACCACTGAAAGCACCCCATGTCTTGGCCTTCTTACGTAAATCACTAGTTGTACGCTCCTCACGTCCCTTGTTTTCAATCTTTCTAGCAAGGTCGACTACATCAAAGTAGGATAAAATCTTCATCTGTGGGGCTACTGCAGTGTATAAACGACCAACCAATCCATCAACAAACCTCTGAACTCGATCTTCTTCGGTAGGCACTAAGTGAGGAGCATATATAGCCAGCTTACAGAACTTAGTGTTATATGTTGACACATCCATATCTGGAGTCTGAACCAATATCTCAAAGTCTCTAGCATATTGTTGCATCAGACTGTCTAGAAGAAAATGATTCTTAAACAACTTAGTGAACTCGTCCCATGTTAGTGGTGGTGCTCCTGCTGGCCTTCCTAGCAATACCGTTTCATACCATGTGTTGGCCATATCCTCTAGTTTGTATGTTGCGAGCTCCACGGCTCTCTCACTAGAACATCCAAGAGCACGTAATGCCTTAAGTGTCCCATCCAAGAAACTTTGAGGATCTACTGAATTTTTGGAACTTATGAATTTTGGTGATTTCAATTTCAGGAACTCGTGTAGGGATACTTCCTTATTTCCGAAAGGCTGAGTCAGTGTAGGTGTTTGTGTCTGTAAAGTAGCCTGAGGAGCTGAACTTCCGCCCTGAGTAGGCACCAATTCCTCTAATACATTCAATAACCTTGTCACTGCATCTGCAGGTAAGGCAACAGTAGGTACAACAATTGACACTAGCGGTGGAGCATTGTGAACTCCCTGCTCTTGCACTTGATCTGGCATAACAGCTTGGGTTTGACCCATGTTCCCAACTTGAGGTTGAGC